CTGGCTGAAAAAGCAATCAGAACCGACATGTCTCTCAGGCAAAACAACCTGAAGGTGAGAGGACTGAATGAGAAAATAGGCAAAAATGAAGACCTGGCAGAAATAATAACCAACTGGCTAAAAGATGTTGTTCCACCAAAAGGCAATATTTCCCCAATAATAACTAAAGCTTATAGAGCTGGGCCAATTTCGCTACTTAAAACAAGACCATCCCGGGACATAATTGTGACTTTCTTAGATCTACGCTACAGAAAAACTGTTTTAAACGCAGCAAGACAATCGGGACACCTTAAACATGATTCACAAAGCATTGAAATTTTTCCAGACCTACCGAAGGAGGCACTTCTTAAACGGCGCGAATTAAAACCACTAACAGGAAGACTTACAGAAGAAAATATAAGATACACCTGGGCAACTCCGCTGATCCTGCAGTTTACTTACAAAGGGAAAATCCACAGAATAGCCAGCAAAGAGGAAGGTTTTAAAATCCTCGGATCCCTCGACTTGATAACACCAATGGAACTTTCTGGCCAGTCTTTAAAAAGAAAGGAAAGATCAGCCTCTCCGACACCGCCTGGAACGCCGGATCGACAAGAGGAAGAATTTTGAAAGTCTCCACAGAATCGGTCTAAGTAATGCCTCATCATTCCTGCAACCGCAGCCATCTTGTCTCTATCGTGCTGATCGTCCACGGGCGCCAGCTTTTACGACCCATTTACCTCACACACTAGTTAAAGCGCTTGTTTGCAAACTTCAAAGTTAAAGACCCGCCGACAAAACAAGCTTAACCCAGTTATAAATCATTACTGTAGTTGGTTACACTAAAGCACTCAGTTCATGTTTATGAAGCCGATCTCACAGGTTTTTATTGTTAATTCATGCCGTTTTACGCTTTTACAGGGAGGAAAGGGGGGGGGGAACCGCGGACTCAGCCAAACTCACAGACTCCTTAAGAACTCTTTTATACATCTGCTGGGGACTGTGTTGATACAGCAACACCCAGCCTTCTGCAAAACTAATCTTGCAGAAGCTTTAGAGTTCTCATTCTTCTCCTATTGTGTTGCTATTGTACATTTGGTAATTTTACTACTAATCTGCTTTTTATCTCTTTTAAGTATTAAATATCAAATCAATTGTAATTGTACTAGTGATTAGCATACTCAATTAATTCTTGCTATTAGTATTGTTAAACTTTCAGCTTTGACTATTGCACAGTGAATATACTCCAGGTGTATTAAGACTAATTCATTCAACTTTTTTATCATAATCAAATATATACCATCAACTTGTATAACACGGGATATTTTAGAAACAGAATTTACAGAACTAATCTACTTGCAGAAGCCTTAGATTACTCAAATTGTAGTGCTATTATACATTTGGAAATTTTATTCTTAATCTGCTTTTTACCTCTTTTAAAATTTAAGATCAAATCAATTGCAATTGTATTAGTGATTAGCATACTTAATTAATTCTTGCTATTAGTATTGTTAATATTTCAGCCTTGATTATTGCATAGTGCTTATATTTCAGGTGTCTTAAGACTAATTAATTCAACTTCTTTATAGCAATCAATTCTATACCAGCAACTTGTATACCACAGGTTACTTTAGAAACAGCGTTTACAGAACTAACCTACAAGAATTTTCCTAGATTACAGGGACGATCCACCTGCAGAAAATTAGACATACTACTTGGATACAAACCTACAATAGTACACAGAAATCCTTGCAGAAAGTTAAACAAAGCAATATCACATTCTCTTAAAATACTTAGCTCAATACCTCTACAATTTATATACTCTATAATACCACTCTGTGCCAATCGCAGGAGACACATTTTAAAATAGCATACAAAGGAATAATAACATCAAAAGTACATTAGAAGTATATACAAGCTCTTTTTTTTGTAAAAGGTAAAAATTAAGTGTTAACTGCGTCAACACACACACAATCTTATATTTAACATAACTTACCTGGTACTATTCCCTCAGATAGTACTGTTAACTTCTAGCTTCACACAAGCATACTATCTACTTATTAACAATTTCACTGCTTTTTATCATTACCAGCCAAAAGATTTAAGGTGAACCATGACTTCTACAATCAAAACCATCTCATACAACGTGAAGGGCTTGAATAACGTCATCAAACGTAAGCGAATCCAGAGTCAAATTGTTAAACTTAATCCGGACATTGTTTTTTTACAGGAGACCCATGTCAGAGATGACAAAACCCAACTGTTCAAAACTAAAAAATTTCCATCCCAATTTATGGCAGGGGGAAATACTAAATCCCGAGGCACAGCAATACTGATAGCTAGTAGGGTAAAATTTGTATTTCAAAAATCGCTGGCTGACCCAAATGGGCGATACATTTTTGTCCAAGGAAATTTAAATAGTGTTCCAATAACTCTGGCAGCAGTGTACGCCCCGAACTCAGGCCAATTGGAGTTTCTGGAACAAACACTACATCTCCTAGATGATTTCAAACTGGGTGATCTGATCATTGGTGGCGACTTTAATGTCACCATGGACCCAAATTTGGATAGATCCGCATTTCAACACAATAAAAGGGATGGTAGGACTCCAAACAAAAAGTTAGCAAACTTACTGGCTACGCACAATCTTATTGACATCTGGAGACATCTTCATCCCACAGAAAGGGACTACACGTTTTACTCTAACTGCCATGATTCTTACTCACGTATTGACTTTATTCTAGTCAACGCATCCTTAGTGAATCACTCCTACTCAGCAAACATAGGCACACAACTATGGTCTGACCACTGTTGGGTTCAGCTGCAAGTATAACCTCGGTGACGGCACTAATTCAGGCAAAAGGGTTTACCCTTTGCACGTGTGGATTTTCCGAGTTAAAGAACGCTGTTCTTCCTCACGGGTTATCCAAGAACCGTGGACGGTGTGACCTTTGCGATCGCACCACCCGTTTAGATCTCTGGCAAACAGGCGTACAGAGATCAAGGCCGTACCTGAGGGTATTTCAACCCTAGGTAGCCTGAG